AAACTTTATTGAAAAATGAATATCACTTTTATATATCTTTTTTATACAAACCAAAAAAAAATGGAAAAGCGCAAAGTATTCGATAATTAACACGTTACTAAGCAATTTCCGCTCTTAATATAGATGTAATATTTATTGTGACATACGCATAATTTAAAGTAAACGCTGATACTTATTTTATTACATTTTATAAATTAAAATTATAAACTCATTTAAATTTTTCGCTAACAACAAAATATCCTTAATGAAGGATATATTATAATAATGTTATAATTAATGTTATAATTAATAAAGGATATATTATGTTATCAAATTTTCAAATTTCTATTTTGGACGTCAAACATTAGATTATATAATATATTTTTATTTTCATGCATTTTAGGTAATTTAAATTCAAGAATACTATTATACGCTACTGTTACAATATGTAGATGTTGCACGTTGATATCAATTCTATTTCATTTATTTCAAAGTAATTTATTATATATATTAAATTTAATTTATTATGTATATTTTGACTAAGATATACATAATAATAAGACATAATTAGAATAATAAAAGATATGAATTATTTTTAAAAATTGTAAATATTAAATATTAATTTAATATATCTTGTGTAATGTAGATAAAATATCTTCGCGTTCTAATTGTGAGATTTAATTCCTAACAAATCTGGTGTAGATATTTATTTTCGAACTTCGAAAAGAAGATTAATCGCTATTAAATGCGAGATAATTCTAATCAACTTAAAAGAGAAGGGAAAAATCGAGGAGGCTTAACTTGCGGAAGATGGAGACTGCGCTACAGCGTGAGATGCTGGATGATCAATACCGACTTCCGAGTCAAATTCTGGACCGAATTACAGTCAAGGGAGATACAGACGAGCATCATGAAAACAGTGACGCATACTTGCACGCCAGGAGCTACGGGTAAGTAGTTTTTCAATTCAAAATATTCTTCGAAAAAGTATAACTTAGTTTACTGGACAAAATTTTTCAAGCTTTTATATATTTCTCTCTTAAAAGAAATGTTCTGTCATAAATATTTCCATTTTCTCAATCCTATTGTTTTGTAAATTAAAATGCTTTTTTAAATATTAATAATTAACAATTTCCTTTCGAAATGTCTCTGAAAGGGAAAATTTCTCAGATAATGTTATGAAATCAATTATTAAATTATTGCCTTTTAAATAGCCATTTCCCGATTTATACTTTATTTGTCTAAGTTTTAGATCTACCTGGAAACGATTCAATTGAGGATATCGCTGAATCAGTGGACGAATTACGGGAAAAATTGGCAAACATGAAGAGATTGATGGAAGAACGAAGAGGAACTACCCTGGGCGAAATTAGTGCAAGAAAGAGAAAAGAGACCTCGGATATCATAGATGGCTACTTTTTATCTTGGATATTTGGCTCAGCACTCATCGTGATTTTGAGTGTCAGTTTTTATGCGTTTTACAATCTGTACCATGCAGTCTTAAAAAAATTCCCATCACATCATACGGAATTGTAAACGGTAATTTTCATTCTTTAAAACCATACATTTTGTTTCTTTCTTCGACAATATGCCACCTTAGCCACCGTGATAATTTTCAGGATAAGAATGGGAAAACTTTTACTGATAAATAATTTGCCTTGGATACATTCCTTTGCAAACAATAGATGGCACATAAAAAATTATGTCCAAAGATCTCAAATTTATTGCGCGATTCTCAAGAAGCATAATAGCTTCGTTTGTGTCAAAAATATCTGTCTGCGCTTTAGGATATCATAACGAGACGTCTGAAGTAGAAAGAATTTAGAAACGAATTAGAAAGAATTTGAAAAATGGATAGAATGACGAAAATGTTCCTTTTATATGTATGTACTTGACAAGTTCAACGAATGTTTGATATAATATTTTAATATTTTATTATTTCGGTCAAAAAACTTCTTTCTTTTTCACTACACATTTCTCAAAGAACTGTACTCTCATGAAAAATATTCAGTTCTCGAAAAATTACACGTTATGTATCAGAAAAGGAGCAAGTGCCTTAAAACATCTTTTAGCACTATTCATTTTAGTGCGTTCGTAATAAACATGTAATTCTATAGTTATGAAGAATGAGGCACTTAAAATGGATAACACAAATAACGAAAATAGTTTTCGATCTTAAAATGGAAAGAAATGATTTTCAAAAATGTATGATCTCTTTATTTTTATTCTTTTTTATTTCGATAAATTGAATATCTAAAACATTTTTTTTTCAAATATAAAAAAATAAGGAAGAATTAAATCCTACATTGTATTTCCTTTCTAAACATTGATACTTTCTATGATTCTTGATCCATACTTTACTTTCTTACTATAATTTTATATTATGTAGTACATAAATTTTATATTGCACAGTGTCCTGATTATATTTAAAAATTTTAAAGTTTCCAAATATCTACATTCATGAATAATCAATACATTAATTAATATAAAGATACACGTAAAAGCTAATTTGTACGTGTAATCAAAATTCATCATTGATTTCAAAATTTCCATATAGATCATTTACTCATATTGTGAATATCATGTACATATTGTGAATATTAAATAAAGATTATAACTCAGTTGAAAATAACTATTTTCTTAATCATTCAATACATTCAACACTAATACTTTCAACAAAACAACATTTAATAGCACCTTTTAATTTTCACTTTTTTTAATATGGAAAGCAATATTGCGGACATTTAATTTAAAATAATTATTATACAATAAGAATATAAGAAGGATGATAGAATTTTTCATGGTAAACTAAAACAACTCACGCGATGGTGTCTTGATTTTTCAATACCCGAAGCTACAAATATTAAAAGTATCAAATAAAATAATGAAAGTCTGAAAATATGAATCAAAATAAATAAAGTATTTCATAATAACATACAGAATAATGTCTTTTTACTTTCTAATTCCTTGGAAAAATTACCCAACATTTTCTGATAATCTTCTTGTTGCTACAATTAAAAATTACTATTTTTGTCTCTATTGTTAATTTGTAGTTAATTTTAATGAAATAGAATCACTACCTTTAAGACTTCACTCCTAAGAGCTTCTCGTTGAATCGATAAATTTGAAATTTGAGTTTGCAGCATTCTCACCTACCGGATGTAATCATAATTACGAAAAACTAAATCATCTTTCTTTCTATTTAAACAATTATATGTTATTCCAACCTCATCCTCGATTTTTCGTATATCTTTTTTTAATTCGACCATCAACAAGCGATATCGATCTCGACAAGACGATGTTTTATTTTCTAAATCAGTCAACATTTTTCCCGTATTTTTTATTTCATATTGCGATTTCTGTAACTAATTGTAGCATCGCAAAACTAATTGTAGTTTTTTCATAAACATTTAGTCAAAGTAAAATGAGTAGAATTAATTCCTTACTGCGTATTCTTTCTCTGTAAGTTTTCCCGTTAATACTTCTAACTTATCATCCATGCTCTCACAACTCTGAAATAATCAATGTTAAATTTAATTTAAATTGAAGTTATCACGAATGTTACTACGAGTGTATTAAGAAAAATTGAAAAATGTCATTGAAAAAAAGATAAAACACAATGTATTATATATTATATATTATATATTAATAATTATATATTATTAATATATAATAAGTATTATATATTATATATTAATAATTAGACAAGTTAAGCACGGATGTTTATGCGTTTATGTGAAATTCAAAAGTATAAAAATTTACAGAATATACACGATATACAAAAATATGTAAAATATCTACACTAAAGCATTCACTACAATGGATAGAAGAAATTTACATTTAAGTTTCATTTACACTAAGTTACATTTATGGAAATACCAAATAGCATAAACATCCGCACTTTAATAATCGCTTTTCGTTAAAGAATCGTTTTTTTTAACTGACTTCAATCGAGAATCCCATCTCTAAGCTTATATCTTGCGGTACAATCTACAAAAACACAATTTATGAAAGTTATGAAAGTACACATACTTCTAATAGAAGTAATGCAAAAGAAAATTATATTAGTAACTTACGTATTTCCTTAATTCCTCTGTTTGAGAGTTGTACTTTGTTACAAATAACATTATTAGTTAACATAAAATATCGTCAATTAAAGTATATAAAAAATATTCTTACCATAACCAAAAGAAAACTGACAACACAATAAATAACAAAGATAAAAATACACATTACTTTAAAAGTACAAACTGCGAATAGTATGAACCACATTATGAATAATTTATGTTTAATAACTGTTCTTAATAAAAATAGTTATCAAAAGCGAATAAGAATTATAAACGGTCAAATTTATAGTAGAAATCATGTTGATAAAAACCGAAGATCTAATTTCGTTCCCATTTTGAATTTTATCGAACTTCATCGAAGAATCGCAATCAAAGTTAAAATATTTCGATTTATCGATCAAAAACGTTTAGACGAATAATTTATTGAAAATTTAAAAAGTTGATATTTTACAGTAAATAATTTTAAATAAATCAATATTGTAATTATTTCACACCCGAAAGATTTATGTGATAAATGATTATGTCTACTGTCTTGTAGAAAATTATGATCTCACTAAATCTTAACGCATCAAATTATTATACGAATACATAGTGCCATATTTTTTTTTCTTTACTTTAAAATAATAGTCTATATTTTAATAAAATTACTACTGTGGCCCAATATTGTAAATTTTAATAATAGAACCAACCCTCTAACATTCCAAACGTTCTGAAATTATATTCGTATATTCACATCTTGAGTGAACAAGTGGTGCAATTAATACTACTTCTCACATAATTTAATGTTGCAACACACGAATTCAAAATGTACTTATGTCAAGTTTTTACAAAAAAGAGTTTCAAAAACTCGGAAAAATTATTCAGATGATATAACCTACAAGAATGGAATGTTTAAACTTAAACAGAGCGGCAGAAGTAGAAGTTATAGAAAATTTCATCAAAACTCCCACTTTCAAATTCATACAACATTACCCTCGCAGTCGCAAATTATTATTGCAGGTGCGGGAACAGTGGCTAATTCTGTTGCTTATCATCTTGTTGTTAATGGATGGAATGATGTACTTGTTCTGGAACAAAATAGGTACATAATCATACATATTCATTTACATGAAAGGAAGCCATTAATAAAAATTAAAACAATGCAAAATGTATTTTTAATTTTTAAAGACCTTCCTAATTTTTATAGACTTTTATTGTTTGTTACATATTATATATTTTACATCATTGAAGTAGAAAAGACTTTTGATTCTAAAAATTATTACCACACTGGTTATTTTACTTAAAAGTGTTTTATGTGTAATGTACATAACTTAAACTTTAACTTTTGTTGCAGGATTGGAAGTGGAACATCCCATTTTGGTTCTGGTACACTGGGTCTTTTCAAACCAATATCACACAGGAACTTAATATCCTACAGTATTAAGTTGTATCAACAACTACAAGAAATGGGATATGATATAGGTCTAAAACAATGCGGTAGCATATATTTAGCTCAAACCAAAGATAGAATGATAGCTTTAAAAAGAAGGATGGCTTATAATGTACCCACAGGTTTACATTGCGAAGTAAGATTTACTAACCAAATTTTGAAATTGAAACATCAAAAACAAGTTTCATTAAGCTATAAATGTATTAGATTTTAGGAAGAGATCAACTGAATCAGTTATATCCAAATTTGCATACTGAAGATCTTGAAGGTGCAGTTTGGGTTCCTGAAGATGCAGTAGCTAATTCTAGTGCAATTTGTAATGTTTTAGCCAAATTAGCAAAAATTGGGGGAGCAAAATACATTGAAAATTGCCATATAGAAGAAATTTACACTGAAAATCGAGCTATAAAAAGTGTAAGAACTGAACATGGAATAATTTCTTGCGAATATTTTGTCAACTGTGCAGGAATGGTAATATTATTTTAGAAATGTGAAATAATTTTTATATTATTTTCTGTGCAAATTCTTTTCATTTTCAAAATATAGTGGGCACGAGAATTAGGATTAAGATGTAATCCACCAGTCAGAATCCCAGCATATCCTGCAGAACATTTTTATGCAATTACTCCTTCTTTCTCATCTAATACAAACATGGCTTTGCCATGTATACGAGATTTTGATTCATACTCATATATGAGAGAGTGGAAAGGTAAATTAACATATTAGGATATTACGCTTGATTTAATAACTGAATAAATACATTTATAGGAGGTTTATTAATTGGATGGTTTGAACCAGAATCAAAACCTGCATTTGAGAATGGTATTGTTCCTACAAAAGACTGGAGAAATCATCTTACAGTTAACACTTCACATTGGAAACCTTTATGGAATAAAGTAGTACACAGATTACCAATTTTGAAAGATGTACAACCAAACGTATATAACTGCCCAGATAATTTTACACCAGATGGTAGATGGATATTAGGAGAAAGTCCACAAGTAAAAAATTATTTTGTTGCTGTCGGCATGAATGGAAATTCATTACAAGGTAAAAAATAGTAAATATTTAAATCTTTTGTTTTTTAACACCAAAATTATATTCTTTTAGGAGCAGGAGGAATAGGAAAAGAAGTTGCTGAATGTCTAATAAATGGTGAATCTACACAAGAAATACTTCCTTTTAATGTACAAAGATTTTTAGATTTACATGGCAGTAAACGATATTTACAACAAAGAACAAAGGAAATTGTTGGAAGAAATTATGCAATTTTATATCCTCATCAATGTGAATATAAATATGCTCGAAAACTACGTTGTTCGCCTTTGTATTCTGTACTTGAGGAGAGAGGTGCAATTTTTGGTGTCAAAATGGCTTATGAACGTCCACTTTATTTTGATTCAAATTATAAAAGTAAGCAAGTAATTGTATAATTTTCATTTTCATTTTATTATATTTCACGATACAATTAAATTCATGAATAAGAAATTTTTATTAACAAAAGGGGACAAAAAACCAATCATGCCGCCAGGCAGTTTTTATAAACCTAAATTTTTTGATTATATGAAAGAAGAATTTGTAGCATGTAAAGAAGGAGTGGGAATAATAGATATGAGCTCATTTTCGAAGATTGAAATTAAAGTAAGTATTTAAAATATAACTGCATATATATAAATATAAAATATTGTAATCATTTATATATTTGCAGTCTAGTCGTTGGGAAGTTGTAAACTATCTTCAACAATTGTGTTCTAATGATGCAAATATACCAGTTGGTAATATAGTGCATACAGGAATGCAAAATGAAAGAGGAGGATATGAAAATGATTGTATTTTAGTAAGACAAGCTGAAAATAGTTATTTTATGGTTTCACCTACGTCGCAACAAACACGCATATATCAGTGGATGTTTAGGTAAAAGAAGTAACAGAAATCAAAAATAATATTTACTTTAATTTTATAAAAATTATTCATTTATTGTGCAGACATTTACCAGCTGACTATTCAGTAGGTCTTAATGATGTAACATCAAAATATACTGTTATCAATTTAGTAGGACCTAAAGCAACGGGATTACTTTCAGAACTTTCCAATTCTAATATTAATTTTTCTCCTTTTACATATAAGGTAGTTTACATTAATTTCTATTTAATATTTCAACAGTAATAAGCGGAATTATAATCATGTATGTATATCAATTTTATGCATTTTAATCTTAACAGAATGTAAATGTCGCGTATGCTTCTGATGTAATGGTAATGTCATTCACACATACTGGTGAATCTGGTTATTGTTTATATATACCATCAGAATATGCACTTCATGTATACTCCAGATTAATGGAGGTCGGTAAAGATTACGGAGTACGAGATGTAGGTGTACTCACACAACGTTTCATGCGAATAGAAAGATTTATTCCATTTTGGGCTGAAGAATTGACACCATTTGTTACACCATATGAAGCTGGAAGTGGATACAGTGTAAAATTAGATGTAAATAGATATAGCAGTAGAATTTATTTAAAAATATTAATATTAAATTTAGATTTATGAACACTTTCTGTCATATAAACATGGCTAATTATTATAATCTGCTTTAATAGAAAGAATATTTCATTGGAAAATTTGCTTTACAACGTCAAAAAGAACAAGGCGTATCAAAACGATTGGTATTATTTATCGTTAATGAATTAGATATCAATAAGGATGTATGGCCATGGGGTGGAGAGCCTGTTTATCGAAATAATGAATTTGTAGGAACTGTTACATCAGCGGGGTAACTATCTTATTGAAAGTAAAATATACTTTGACTGAATCAAATTATTAATATGATTTTACAGATACGGTTTCGCTACAGAGAAGCATATATGTCTTGGTTTTATCAGTCATCCCAAATCAAGACATGTACAAACTAATACAAGTATTGTTACAACAGATTTTATAATGGATCCTAAAGCTCGTTATGAAATTGATATTGCTGGTATTAGATTTCCGATTAAACCGCACATTCGTCCATTACCTCTACCAACTCTGAATAGTAAATTAAATAAGAAATATATTCCTACCCCTATTGTATCATAAAATATCATATTAAAGCCACATTTTTCAATAATAATCTTTTATTTCCTTTTATTATTATTATATGATTGAGATTTTAATCATTATAATTTTTAATTAAAATAAAATGAAAAATAGGGTTTTAATTCTTGAAAGATTATTTTCTCTAGAAATTTAAATATATTTATAACTGTAAAAATGTTTAAACTATATGTTGTATTGTAATTAAGTATCTACCATTGTCTAACAAGCTATGTCCTTTAAATTATTCTATTCATAGTTTGTAAAAATATAAATATTTTATCCAATTAATATACTAATTCGATGCAATTTGAATATTTACAACTTAATCATTATCAATTAATAAAGCGTTTGTAATACTACAAATAGTACAATAAGTTTTGATCTAAAAATATATATGTAAAACTATATCTGCTTTATTTATTATTATATTAAATTAGCATACATTTAAATAAATTTATTTATAGCAGATACATATTTATACAAAGTTTAAAAGGCCATCGAACAATTTAAACTATTATTTTTTCAAAATATGTTATACATATATACATTAAAATAATAACTAAATTTTCTGAAGCAATTATATATCTTATGGTTCAATCTTTTACACAAAACATTTATACGACAAGAATTTTTACAAATATTTTTCATTCTTAATAGAAATTATGTATATAATTTACCAACATTTATAATTGTGTATGTAAATTATATATTTGTCTAATACAATTATTTTTCCATTTCAACAATTGAATATATTAGCTATCATAAATATAAGTATGTAAGATATTTACTATCATTTATGAAATTTTTTTGTATATGAATAAAAAAAAACTTTTATACGTAATAAGCAAAATGACTATTATGAAAACTTCATCATATTAATCATTTTAACAGTGCATAAAAAATACTGCAGTGTTAACATTAGAATAATTATATGATTTTTGATCTAAAAAATGTATATTCATATACATTGTTACCTTCTTAATATCTTCAATAATACATACTTAATTTTAGCTGTCGGTTTTTTAGAAAATTTATTTTTACAAATATTTCAATATCACCTTATGATGCCCATGCTTCCAATTCTTTCAAATCTTCATCTTCTTCTGGTTTGGCTTCTACAAATATTAATATTTTTATATAAAACAATATTATAATAATAGTAACAATATTTTTAATTTAAAGGCAAATTAATTTGTAATAATAACTCGTAAAAAAAATATTAAGATCATTACTTGTGCGAGTCCTAGCTGGGGCAGTTGGAATAGCAGTAGCTGGAACATTTGGTAGTTCATCAGTAGGTTCAATACCAAGCAATTCTTTATCAAGTTGTTCTTGTTCAAGCTCTTCCAATTCTTTTTCTAATTCTTCTTCATCTACGTCATTTCCAAATGCTACAGGATTAGAGATCGCATCAGAAATTTCTCTTGCTACATCCTGTTGTTCGGCTATGTCATCCATCATATCGTGTACTTGATCAACATCCCTAAAAGAAAAATGTCTATATTAATTATCTAATTAAAAATATCTATATTAACTATAAAACTAAAAATATCTATATTAACTATCTAATTAAAAGTATCATAAAACTGAATTTCTTACATGTGTTGATGAACAGATTTTAATGCATCTGCTGCATTTTTCATGGTAGTAAGTACAGCAGTATTAGTATTTGCACATTCAAGTGCTTCTCTTTGACTTTCAATTGTAGTAAGTGTACCATCAATTTGTTGCAACTGTTTTTCATAACGTTTCTTTCTTTTAAGAGCCTGAATTGCAGCTGTAAAATATATTTTCATGTTAATATATTATATATAATCCTAACATACTATATTTATTGCTATATTTATTACAGATGCTTATGCAAATTCACAGATTTAGTATTATAAATACTAAAAAAGCAGTTAAATAAAAATTTGTTTCACACAATAAATATAATAACTAATACTTTATTTTAAATATTTTTATATGTTACTTGTTATCCTATATATATTTTTACATCTTTATAGAATTTTACATAAATGGATAAACATCCACAATCTGGTCACTAGTTACTCAGAATGAATGACTTATACAATATTGCTTCTTATTTGAAAGACTCTTAACTTAATAAATCCATTAAAAAAATAACATTTTTGAAGTTGAACTATTAACATAGCATTCTAATCACAAGTTAAAGTCAAACAGAAAAACTTCACAATTGCAAACAATCTTATTTATTGATAATTGTTCGCAAGTGGTTATCAAATGAAGAACATCATTTGTAAATACCTCTTTTGTTTTTTGTTCCATTTTTCTTGGCAACTTGTATTTCAAGCTCTATTTTACTTTCGAGAAAATCCTGTTTCTTTATCAACATATCCTCTGTTTCGCGTAATTTTTGTATCGCCTCGGCTGTTGATAAAGCTGCCGCTTCCTTTTTACCACCAAATATTTTACTAAAGAAACTCATTGTCTTAAGTTCTACTTCGAACTTAAATTATAACCAACAATCTTGAACACGATAAACACTCCTCGTGCAAAATCAACAGGCCAGAGTACTATACTAATCAAATACCAATCGCCATATTTCCTTTTGGCATTGATATACGTCATGACTCATCGTTAGGTTACTATGAAATTTAGTTTCATTCAATTTATCGGAATCTAGGAACAATCAAATTTTTCGTTTCTAGAATTTATTTTTTAAACTCGTAATAATAATTACAATATATGATTACGATCTAGTTTAAAAAATAAGCTAATTTAAAAAGTTACGTACATGTGGTAAGATATTTTTAGAAATGTACTCAAATATCGAGATAAAGTTTTAATTCGAGTTGAAATTTTAAATAATTGTATTTTAAAAAATTACACACGACAAATTTTTGACATATCAAATTATCAAATTTTATTGTTTGACAAAATTTTTATGAAAAAAAATAAAAGGTGTGTGTGTGTGTGTGTGTGCGAGCGCGCGCGCGCGTTGTGTCACATATCTTATAAATATAGTATGTGTGATGTGTAAGTACTTACGGCTATATTTGTTTTATACATATACAAAATTTAAAATTAGTCATACTTAATCGTCATAGCAGGAAAATATAAGATATTTCTCATTATCTTGCTGTTTCTTTTGTTTATTGTAATAAGTTATTAATTTATAGATAATCTTTTCAAATGGATACTAGTCTGAGGAATGTAAGTATACATTAGAAAAAATAATATTATTACCTAAGTATATTTTAAAAACTACTATTACTTCATGATGTAAGAAATCATATTTGAGCTGCCCAATATTTTGTAAGAACCTTTAAAAATAGTAAATTTTAGGCATTTTAATAATAAAAAAATATATAAAAATATATAAAAAAATAAAAATCGCTTCATTTCTTAAAATTATATTAAAGTAATATTATAAAATTTATAATTCTTTTAAGTCAAATTATCAAATATTTAATAAAATCAAACTATTAATAATATTACAAAACTTTATTTTTCATAATAAACTTCTGTTTCATGAACTTCCAGAAACATTTACCTAATGGAGAAACAACTCAAAGTCGCTTAGCAGAAGCTTTATATGGAACACAGACTGAAAATAAAATGCTACCAGGATTTGATCATAATCGGGATGATGTTGAATATTATCGTGTTCAACAAGATATTGACTGTGACGAAGTATATCCTGGAATATACATTGGTGATGCGTAAGTATTTTAACATTGTCTATGTCTGTATATTTAAGAAAAATTAATTTGCATTTAATACTTTGCAGTGCCACAGCAAAAAATAAAAAATACCTCAAAATGTTGGGTATAACACATTTGCTTAATGCTGCTGAAGGAAAAAGATTTGGATGTGTAAATACTAATAAAAGTTATTATTCTGACACAACAATAAAATATCTTGGATTGCCACTTATTGACATGTGCACTACAGATATTAGCAAATATTTTGATACTATTGCAGACTTTATCGATGAAGCTGTTTCCACTGGAGGTAATGCAATAATTTAGTAATTAAAGAAAAAGTGTAAGAAAATTCAAATACATTGTTTAAAATTGGATTTTCCTTTTATTAGGTAAAACTTTTGTTCACTGTATGTTAGGAATTTCACGTAGTGCAACATGTGTGTTAGCATATTTAATGATCAAAAAAGGAATGTTAGCCACAGATGCAATTCGAACAGTTCGCAAAAATCGTTTTGTCCAACCAAATAGCGGTTTTCTTCATCAGTTAGCACAGTTAGACAATCAATTACGAAGACAGCGTTGAGTGAATGCAGCTTTGTTAAAGTTATGAAATTTGTAAACAATACATAATGCATCGAATTCTATAGATATATATGTGTCTCTTTATAAATATAATATAAATAATTCTTGATACATATCTTTGTATATACAGAAGAACTCGAAAACTTTTGGTTAAATTTTAATATCAGTTTCATCATTTTATAGAGCATTTCTCGAGCAAGGTTTAAATGTGTGAAACATTAATTTTTACATAGCATAAAATAAAATCCGTGACAAAAGGAAATCAAGCTAAAGAAAAAATGGTTGTCTGAGTAATCTCTTGGCTTATGTTTGAATTATTAATAAATTATATCAGAATAATGTATGGAAGACTCAAACGTAAAAGATTATACAAAAATGTTTGAGACAGCGTACATCTATTTTTAAAAGATAGCCCACAATAATCATTTTTGTTTTATAGTTTGCAATAAAAAATTAACGTTAAACTTACAAATCATTTCTTAAAATTATCATAGTCAATCTTTATAAAATAAATTATTCATTAATTTTAAATATTTAATTATACTTTTGTAATCGTGATAATTCTGTATACAAAAATAAGTTGAGAGAAAGGAATGACATTTTTTCATTTAAATAAAGAGAATAAATGAAAAATGTAAAATAAAATTTTTCTACAAGATACTTAAATTTAAATATTTATCAAATACATTATACCAAACTATTTTAATTAATACATATACAAACTATTTTTAATTAAACAGGTTCAAACTCTATTTAAAACAAATCAAAATTTTTGACTTATTTTTGTACACAGAATAATCTCCTATTAATAATACATCTTTATTCAGTCCGAAATTAGCTAAATTTAAGGATGCTTGACAAGTTTTCAAAGATGAGTTTCTTGAACAAAGCTTTGTATGAAAAAATATTTTTCTTTTCAATTTTTTAAAAATCGTTTTCTAATCACTTGTACCATGATTCAAAAAAATGTGCAAAGCTGAGGCAATTGCTGGTTGTATATAAATAATCGTTTATAAAAATTGAGCAGTATGTATAAATAGATTGATATATTGTTAACATTATACTCAAAATTTATTATTAATTATGTAAAAATAAGTATTATGTCACATATACATATGTGAGATAGCAATTATACTATTCTTATATATGTGGGATAGCAATCATACAGTTCCTACGAAGGTATAATTATGTATAAAAAATTATGCATATGCAAAATTATCACTTCTAATAATTCACATTGCTATATATTAATCAATTATTATTATAAATAATAAATTATCAATTACAGTAGGACTTCGATTGATAATTCGTTCTGAAAAACGTTTATTCGAAAACTGAAATTCATTTCTCTATAAAAATTAACATGAAATGATTAATTCGTTGTCATCGTTTTAGAATCCCAAATAATTGCTTATTTATATTTTTATAATAGTATTTAATACATAAAATCGAATACAAAGACATAAAAGTGTATAAAATCTTAAAAGGATATGCATAATAAATAAATAAATTATAAATGAAAATTTAATTTTATATTTAATTTCATAATTCAAGATGTATTTCTTTCCATGAAAGTATCGGTTATCATATATCAATTATCTTGAGAGTCTTATCTTTTCCTTTTTCGTCGTTAGAATCTACTTAAGGCTTACTTCTGTTTCAAGCGTATTTCTGTTTCATTAGAAACTTCTCCAATGAAATTTGTTTTTGCCTATGTTTTAAAATGTTTCTAAGATGAAATATAGGCTATGCCTCATATGTTACAAAACTAACAAAGAAAGAAATTAAGGAATATTCTTCCGCCACAGCTCATAAACTACATGATTGTTTATTGGAATCGAGATTTTTTAATTGGGAAAATGTGAACTGAAAGTCATTCAATACCGAGATATTACTATATTATTAGTAATATACATATATTAATAAATTATTATTATATTACTATCATACAATTATTGATTAATATTGTACAATAATTGTTATATAGTATATCTAATTTTTATAAAAAAAATATTAATATTATACAATCTAGATTTAAAATATTAATTGAAAACATTATATAAAAAAATAATTTAGATAATTTAGATAGAGGAAGTGAATAAGTTCGTGGGAATCATAATCTAGTATTGTAATTACATAGTTTCTTTGATGGACATAAAATTCATCTCACTGTAAAAGTAATATGAAGATACGATTTCTTAAATGAATATAATAATTTTTAATTCAGCTACATTTTTTATAAAAAATGTGTGTGTGTGTGTGTGTGTGTGTGTCGAAAAATCGTAATTTTAATTTCGTAAATTTTTGATGACTCTTTAAATCTTTCACATTTCTGTTACTGTTTGGTGAGATCGGAATAAAACTCCATGAAATAATCAAACTAGCGAAATAGGCGGGTTCGTATGTTTCAGGTATTGTTCGAACTCAACCAAAATTGTCTGATCCAATCCAATTCCGAAATGTCGAGTACTCGCACTCGGATAATTTGAACAAATTCTTATTTAAATAATAAAGGTAAAATCGCTGATGTATTATGTTGCTATCAATTTCAAAATTTTTTAAATATATTGTAGAAATCATCAACTTTTCCACATTCCCATTTTCATATACATATAATTGTCGGAATTTCTTAGTTTTTGAAATATTTGCCTGAAGTATTGGCGCATTGAATCCTACTTGTATGTTTTGTGATATGAGTTTTGCCGCTATATCAGTCATTGCTCTTTTTACTTTGTATCTTAGAATAGACTTGTCCAGTTGGTAATTCATGCCTCTTTGAGAGCCATTAGTCTCTATACTTTTACATAAACTCCATTATATCATATGAGCTTCACTGTTATACGAGCGTTAGTAGTAGTAACAAAAGTTGTATTGTCAGATTGATAGTAGTTTATAAAAAAATTTCGAATATTTTAATTAATAATCGTTAGTAATGAATTATAGAATTTATGTTATTTGTCATAACTAATGCATAATTATCACATTGTTAAAAATTTAACATAAAATGTAAAATAGAAATTTAACGTAATATGTAAAGAATATGTAAATGAGATATATAATAATCTTAATATTTTAATATTAATAATAATTTAAAATAGTTGAAAATTTAGTTAAAAATTGTTTTTAAGAATGTATAATACAAATCATTTATACATAAAACCATGTATTGATAATTTTAAAATTTTAATTTATTATATATTGAAAAAAATTGTAATTCGTAAAACGTGGCTCTTTCTAATATATAATCGAATGATTTCGGTTAGTTACTAGCTTCACATTTCGGTATTGAAAATTTGACAATACTGTAATGGGTTTCAAAAATCATGTTGCTGGCGGATTTACTAGTTGCCTAACTCATCGTTATTTAAACGCAGAATGCGCTAAAAAATCAGTGATTTTTTTTAGTATGTCAGTATTTCAGGTCGCGGGCCACGAAAATCCATAAGTTGCAATGTTCATATATGTACTTTGTCTGTGCTATGTACTATATTTACAATGCATTATTTTTAATAGTTTATGTTATAAATATTTTGAGAATTAATTACTGAAAACTATTTGTAAACACGAAATAAAGAACAAATAAGTACAGTTTGAATTTAGAATTGCTTAAAAGAGTGAATTAAGTAATGAACATAAACATGATATAAAATTAACTAAACTATTGACGCATAAAAAAGATAATTTAAATAATACATCAATAACGATCTGACTTTTCTATAATGTAACATTTGTTTTATGCATTTCAAATATAAAAAAAATGCATAATCCTTTGAAGTGATTGATTATTATTATATAAACTAGAGATTGATATTTTGTACCAAGCAATAATTCTAAAAACGAAACAGATCAAAAACATACTTTATGACTTTGTTCAACAAGATTCTTTGACACCTAAAATAGTAGTATATTACCTATATTATTATAATTATTCTAATACAGATAATTTATAGTATTTTAATAATAAATTAACTACTATAGTAATAAATTTATAGTACTTTGTTTTGTTTTACATGAATAATATATAATATTTGTAAAAATGAAATAAAAATAAGATATTAATTAGATTTATTAACATCACGTTTCTATTTATATTAGTTTAATATTATTACAAAAATTTTCAAATAACGACGTTTATATTAAATTGTTTCATTTTGTTTTAATTTTATTTTTGTACAAATGAATATTTATTTATACATCAATAAGAGACTGTTCTACAGTTGCAGATGTCAAAGATAACAATCTTTTCTTCACTATATGAATCTTTTTGTTTGAGAGACAAATAATGTAACAGTGATCTGGATATGTTATTGATATTTTATCAAAAGCCTCATTGTTAGGAAATGCTTTAGGATCAATTTTATTGGTTAATGTGACTAAACCTATAATAATGTTTGCAAATCTTTCATCATTTTCCAATTCACCCCCAGACTAGAATAAAATAAAACATACAGTTTTTAAATTTTACTCTGTATATAATTTAACAGCAAAAGAATACTACCGTTAATACAGCTCCATCCTCTGTCAAAACCAGATGTCCAATTTGATCTGGGATACGTTCCAGTGAAAGCATATTCTTTCTTTAATCTGTAAAAGTACTCTTTTATTTATTCTTTTAAATACTTTTATGTATTATTATTTCAATGAGTTAACTGTATCGACGAATTAATTTTTGTTTGATAAATTTCTAAAAAAAGATTAAATATATCAGTGAAAATTCGTTGACAATTCCATAAAATCACAGCAAAAGAAAAGCGATGAACTATCAACGAACTGTATTTTTTATTTACACATTGATTAACGGTAGAATAAATGATGATAAACAGTTATAGTATGATACTTTATATCTTACATTTCAAAATACCAACCTTGAAAAAGTATTTACTATAGCTTCTACAATTTGCTACAGTGAATATAAGACTTATATTCAATATTGTCAAAGTTGGTAAAATCAGTAACACAATGACAAAATAAATTTGACATGCAATATTTTTTTGTGCTTATCAATAGATTTGACGTACAATACTTTTTTATATCCTATATATTCTGATCTCTTATTATTATTCTCTGTTGTTTTACCATGCAATCATGCAACATATGCTTGGTTTTATTCACTAGCTTTGAAATATCTAATCGATTTTATATTTGATTTTTAAAAAATTTTTTAAAAATTTGTTTAGAGAGAAGAAAATGCATTTTATTATAAAATGAAATTGATTAGAAAAAATAGATATGATATAAAATCATCAAATACAAACTTTTATGAAGGAATGAAAAAGAAAAAAATATATATCACTAGGCAATCCATGATATATATAAATTCCACATTTTGCAAGTGAATATATGAGCCTTTTTTTTGAAAGCGGAAGTCCATTTTTGGAAAAAATGAGTTTGACAGTTTTAGTCAGATATAGATATCTTCTTTTTATATTTATAATCACACAATCAATTGTGTACAATATCCTCATAAATTAATCAAAAAAAGTTGAACTATAAAATGTTATCACAAGAATGTTTTTGTTGAAAATGGAATAAGTCTATTCGTAATAATGATAATTAAAACAACTTTCTCATCGCATTAATTATTACGACTTCAATGTGCACCACCCGTAAAGTCTTTACAGCGCATAATAGCTAATGGCTATTAAAAACATAATATCATAAACAAAATAACAGTGTTATTGCTCAGATGAAGTAATAAGAGATCTAGTTAGAATTTAAGGTTCTTGATTTATTTAGAAAACGAGGAAGGCCTAAAAATTTTAGCAACATTACTATGTTACTACTGTATACAACTTTAAGACCTATAACGAGAGAAATATAGAAATATGATAAGTTTACTGCTTTACATACTTTCTATTTACCATAAATACTTCTTACACTATGCTGAGTGTAAAGGAGAAATAAAATTGAAATGTGAATAAATTTATTATTATTATTTTAACCACAGACGAGATATATGAGGTATATGCAGTATATACCTCATCTATGTCTTAACGAAGTACTTTTCATATTTGTTTATCTACAAATTCGTTATAACTGAAATTATTTCTTAATAAACTCGATTATTCGTTTATTTAATTATTATTATTTACATTAAAAAATATATTCCAGAAAAGTAAATTTCAATTAAAATATAAATTTAAAATTGCTATTGTTTGTATTTTTCATATATGCAAATTACTTTTTAGGCTTTTTGTCTTTAGCAACCTCATCTGGATTTTCCGCTGCATCTTTCACTCGTTTCGCACGAATTCCTACTAATCTAGCATCAGCCCGAGCTTTCCGAAGAATTGTGTACGCTGACAATTTCTTTTCTTCTTCAGAAATTACACGAGCCTTAGCTTTAGCTGGTGCTTGATGTCTTACTGGCATGATTTCTCCTTTAACTTGAGTAGCAAGTTTCGTTTCCTCTTCAGTAGCATCACCCTTTTTAGGCTATTTTCATTAGTAACATTAGTATGTGATTTTTCTTTGATAGTTCTTAAATTTTAAATAATATAATAATAAAATAATAATACTTACTTTC